CAATGCAAATTGCGAGGTGTAATGACCTCTCACAGCTCAATACGTTTCCCCTCCAGACAAGGTCCCCGAATTTCTCTATTACTGAATGCATGCCATGTACAAGAGCGGTAATCTAGCACAGGAGTGGATCCCACAATATTGCTAAGCAAACCGTCCTATTACTACATACTATCCGGGATCTGCAGCCTCTTTCCTACATTTGCCCATCCTAATATTGAACTAGGTAATCATTTTATATTCCAAGCAACATGTGTAGAACAATCGTTTATATTTAAATGTAAATAAAACGCAAGCAAAAATTACCTAAAATATTCTTGATCTTTTATTTAAATTATTAAAAATATTAACATTGAAATTAAAGTTCAACAAGATTACATTAACCATAACCTTCAATAACGAATCTACATTTAAATTTACTCTTCTGTTTTGATAAACTAAGTACATTTTAGTAAACGAGACTGCAGTAACCCAGCAATATATTAAACTAAAGGCGGACAAATATCCCATGTAACATTATCTGAGCGGAGCCAATGACTGCATGAGGATGAATTATTCCTCCCCAACTACAAATGTGTGCATGTAAGAAATCTATTTTCTACTCGGCATATATATTATGCCGTTTATTTTCATATTTATATTTACTCTTCTCATTTCTCTTCATCGTAGTATGTTTGTGTTTGTGTGTGTGTGTGTGTGGCTAGACCTGCGTCATCCGTCGTGCAGTCGGGAGAACGCAAACTGCCTCGCCTTTAGGCTGTCGCGGGCACTGCGAAGGTCACAGCACATTGGACGGGGCACAGGACGGGTTCCCCCCAGAACACTCACCGATTGCAGTCTCCACCGGCGTCAGGCCAAAGCGTTGATCCTCTTCTGCCAGGGGTGGTATACTACCCTGCCCTGCGGTTAGGAATCTACTCTACCTTAATCTAACTGAACTGTAGACTTATCCCTGCTCACAATTATGAGTGATTGAAAACAATACGCAAATATTCTAATTAAACCTAAGAGTTTATTGATTTTATAAAACCCTAACCTGTTGAGAATCCATTCGATTTACTACATTCCTAGGTCGTATTTGAGATGCTTTTAGTCTCTGATCAATGATTTTTAGGAAATTAAAACTGTCAAATATTTTCTAGTTCAAAATAATAAAAAAACCAGGATAATGCTATAATGTTAATTTTTTAAACGATTGATAGTTTCACTGATTTAACATGCACAATGTTGGCCCTATTGATTTGCATACTTATTTTATCCATTACAGTTTTCATTAACACACTTGACTATGAAAAGAAACTTCTCTTTACGTTTGCTTAATCACTATTCGAACTTAAAATGAGCAACTATGCTTTCCAGATTTTAAACGTTTTTCTAAGCATCTGGCGGGAACAAGGGAAATTTAGGAACGACGAGAAGAGATGGAGTCGTGAAGATCAAGACCACGGTGATGTGAAGT